ATCGATATACATATATATATGTATGTATTTATTTATTTATATATTTATATGTATATGAACATATATATATGTTTATATATATTCTCCAGTATTACTTTACTTACTCAAAGGCATTCATAAGGAACAAAATGGTATAAGCAGTTGACTTTTTCAATTATTTTCTGCTTTTAACAGGTATAATATATACCATTATCATCCTGTATCCCACCTGCATGCTAACTTCCAACCTCCTGTCTTATTATAATTCTGTTTAATTATCTGTCTATGTATCTCTCTATCTTTCAATTATTCTGCAATTAAATAAAAAGCTGGTATGTTATAAAGCAACACAAAGGAAATAAACACAAAGGAAATACAAGCCAAAGTAAACTATTTCCATCAATGCCTCTCACATCTTTAAAATACTTAAAGCATTCTTAGAAAACAAAATGTTGAGTATTGCAGCTGAGAATTTCATTTGCCTTCCAAAATAGGGGTGTTATATGACTCGTTACCGCTTTTTCGACAATCATTTTGCAAGCAAGCTTAAAACAAGCTCTCTTTATTCCAACATTGTCTATTATCCCCAAATGTTGGGTAACCTTGTTATATATAATGGATGATAAATTAGTAACTGTTCACAAAAAATGGTTAAACAGGCCAGTTACAGATATAACAAAAATATTTGAACAAAATCTTACATACAGTTACTGATACCAGCTTAGTTTTGATAAATATGTTTGGTTGTTATACTAATCCAGAATACTACCTAACCTTGAATTGTATAAAATAAAAACAGGATATAAATGTAATTAATACACGAATTCAGTAATCAGGTTAAAGTGTGTATGTGTGTAGATTTAAGAGAATTTATCTGGTAGTGGGAGCAAATACAATTTCTCTATCAAATAGATTTTGATGAATTACACAATATAATGCTAAATGGGGACTTAAATTTTATAAGAATATGTTTAAAAGTGCACAGTACTGAGTAGCAAACTCACTTTTAAAAAAGTTTCAGTTGCCTGGTCCATCTCTATAAATTGTTATATATTTGTTCAGGATAGGCATGCTCTGTTGTATTGAAAAGGCTTTTTTGTGGTAAATGTTGAAGCACCATTTCTGATAACTATTAAAGGGCAAAATTGTGAAAATATTAATATTGAGATGAAATTTAGCCATAGTTAAATCCCTTTTCTTGTTTGGCCTCTATATTTCATGGCCAAAAAAGGATAAATGTTTAAAATATGTTTGTATTACTGGTGTTTCACTGCAATATATGTTTATATTACTGGTGTTGGACGAGAAGAATAATGAGAATTCTAATCTCACATAACACCAATTTTAGAAGTTATGGTCTCTTGGAACCTTTCCTTATCTATCTAGTGCAAATATTGAATTCTCGCTTTTGCTAGTTTTACCTTTCTTAACAACTATTAGTATAAGGAATAATTTCTTCATTTAGTGACTCTGCGTGGACATTCTGTAGTTCCATTTAATTGTTTGCATAAGTTGCCAGCTTATTTAACATACAAATGTTTTTGAGATATACAAAAACTACAGTTTGTAGACTTGTCCTCTTAAGGATCAAAATCATTTATGACAGAAGTGGGATCTATGAATTTCTACTGTGCAAGTTTGAAAATTTGTTTGCTCCAATTTATTTTGCCTCAGAATTCCTGCTTAATCAAAAGCTGTTGATTTTTACTACTGTTTTCTTTTACTGTTCCAGTTTTAAATACAAATGTCCACTGCATGATCTTCAAAACATTGATATCATGGATCATAAAATAATACTTCAATATTTTGGGAGTAGCGTATTTGCTTGTGTTTAGGGTCATCAACTGGTAAAAATAAAACATTCAAGTCTTTACTTGGGCCTTTAGTAGTATTGATATAATGCAACCAACAACTGGTTTTTACAAATCAATATTAGTATTCTCATAAGGCAGGCTTTTATTTATTTGATTTTTATCTCACCTTTTTTACTTCATAAGTAATTCAGGATTGCGATCATAAACAAGCTGGCCATATAGTCTCGTACCATCCTGATCCTGATCATGGAGAGACTTTTCTTCTGTTCTTGCCCATGCCAAATGTTAGTTGGACTTACACCCAAAACTAACAATCATATTGCAAAGGGTGAGTTCTGTATCAGCATCTTCAAAGACATAATACACTATGTTCCATGCTGTAACTTCCAATGTTTAACAAATGCCAACTCGACTGTAGAACTTTGCTTCAAAGAAAATAGATTCAGTATGAGGTGAGAGTCTGTTTCACTTTTGTGAACACATGCCTCAAGAACACATTTGTGCTTCCAAAAGCTCGGGTACTAAGGAATTATTACTGAATAGTCTGGAAATACGTTAAAGTACATAAATATGAAGTAAATATGTATTATAAAGAAGACCTGAAGATACCAGGTTGAGAAAAATTATGAGAAGAACTCATCAAAAGCAACATTACAAGACCAGTTGGTAAAATTACTAATGTATTATGTAACTTGATGTTTACCTAATATGCATATATTTATACAATTGACAGCATTATTTATTATTGGGTATATACTTTAAAAAAAATGGCCATTTGAAATAAAATAGGAAATAATCCACTCCTAAATTTGGCCAGTCAAGTTGAAAAGAATCACCTGTCTTCTAGTTTTTGCCACAATGAGGAACATTACCAAGAAAGAAAAGCTGGAAGCAGCCACAGGGCTAGCACTCAACCAGACTCTAGAGATCAAACAGTTGGATGTCTGCGATGAAAAATCCATCAAGAACTGCATTAACAGCATTCCTCAGAGACATATTGATATCCTCAGTAAGTACCCAGAGAATTGCAGCTTTATCAGCCTTCTGGGGGATATAACAATAAACTCCATCAATCCGTGTGTGTGTTTGTGTGTGTGTGTGTGTGTGTGTGTGTGTGTGTGTTGCCTGCATGAATCTGACTCAGTTAAGCAGATACCTCCACGACTAGAGAAGAGGCATTCCTGTAGCAGCCTCAACAAGAAAATATGATTTGGCAGATGCCAGCCCCT